ACACACACGCAAATCTCTATTATACATACTACATATAAATTCATAGTAGGCCAATTAGTTGCATGGTCTGGAAATAGTTCTATACTTATCAAGACTTGGAATACATCGGAAACATCATTTTCCATTCTACACAGGCTTAAGTATGATGTCTCTAATAACTACGCCACCAAATGGAAGGATGGGCTAATTCTTAAAACTCTCTACACAATAAGCTACAGTTATAGATACTGGCCTGGTCACCGTCCCCTCTGCTGCGCTTGTTCTCTGGGGTGCCTCCCTCGTTGCGGATCACTTTAGGTTTTCGCTTTTTCAGGGCATCGGAAGACATGACAGCAGCTGGACCCGCTTATGTGGCTCCTAAACACAACAGCAGTGGTGTAAATTTAGCTAGCAGTTTATCTACACGCTAGCAACTGAAAAGCGCAAATGAAACCGCATCACTAAAAAAAAAAAAATCACCGCGGATTCTTAGTGTCCGGTTTGTGTCGACATACACTGACTATAATTAACTATTATCCGTTAATGTAAATGAAATTATGTTTACGGATAAAGGATTAGCTAACTTTCAATAACGTAGTCGTATTAGGACATTTAAACACCGTGGAAAGTTAAGATAGGTATTTGATACGTCTTTTTAACTTACCGGGAAATTTAAAAAGAACAGCTTTAAAAATATGTTTTACAAAGAAAGAAGACCAAACTAGGTGCTACACACTGCTCCGAGCCGGTCGCACAGCACTCTACGTGATCATACGTATTTCCGGCTTCCTCATCACACAAGTAACGACGAAGAGAAACTTTGCCGCCGCCTACTGCACCGGAGGCAACTGCGTCCAGTATGGTTATTGTATTCCCTGAACTTTAAGGTTTTGGGACCTCCGCCTTAGATGCGTAAGCAAAAAGAGGGCAATTTTTACTCTTTTGTGCTCTCTATGGGAATACACAGCGCTGCTGCAGCCAGCCACAGAAAGGCTGTACGCATCATGGAGGAGATGGGGGAAAGCCCTTCGGAGCCCTATCCCCGGAGGAGTTGAAACCGCCAGAGAGCCAATACGGTCAGGCCTGTTGGGAATAAGAACTGGTGTGGTGCTGAGGCATCGCCCGCTGCACAGCAGCACTCAGGTCCTAATCTGAGGTAGCCCATCTGAGTAGGCATGTGGACCGTCTTTCCCTTTCTGTTGGGGGAGCTTTGTGAACTTGATATGCAAGCTGGGGAGTGGCCAGATCTCTGTAGGTGGGTACACCTATTATGGGCCTTGTCCAGGGGTATTTCTGGCTATAGAAAAGATAAGGAGTTAAGTCAAGTTTACCTTGGGCTTGACTTTTGTCTGATGGAAGACTGGCACCGGGGTTAAAATACTCAGGGCTATAGCTGGATCGGACTTAAGGATGACCATGGTCTGGTTGCACCGATGGCTGCCAGATTCAGATAGTAACTTTTACTGTGGCACATCAGCTCCTCCCAATGGTGTCATTCCTTTCAACAAGCATATTATGAGACTCAGATTAAGGCACTCTCTGGATGTCTTGTTTGTCTTAGTATATGCTCCAACCACCATGAGTGATGTCTCTACGAGGGAGACATTTTATTCACAACTTTGTACGGTGGTTGACGGGTGCCCAAGAGGTGACACTCCACTGGTCATGGATGACTTCAGTGCAGCCACTGGCACTGATCGGTCCCCCCAGGTCTGGTGATCATGGTGAAAGTCGCTCCATATTCCATGGCTTTGCACAAGGTCAGGGTCTATGGGTCGTTGGATCCTGGTTCCAGTGCCCAGAGCCACATCGTTGCACTTGGTACTCCAATACTGGTAGTGCAGCAAAGGAGATCAATCATATTCTCAGGGGCAGATGCTGGAGGTTCCTACAGAAATGCAGGGTCAACAGACGTGCGCAGTGAATTTTGACCACAGATTAGTTCTTGCTACTCTGAAGATTCAGCTTAGGTCCAACAGACTACCACCTACCAGGAGAATAAAACCGGACCTGGCCAGACTCCAAGATGGGTTTGCATGCAGTTTGTGTGAGGAACTTGCTGATTCTACTGGTGTGGGAGACCTCTCATGATAAGACCTTTAAGGTTATCCAGGGTTAAAAAAGTTATTACCATGGTACACTACAAAAATCTTAATGGATTTCCACTGTATTTTATACTATGTAGTATACCATGGCATATAGGTGGCCACATTACAGTGGTTTTACCACAGGGGTACTACTGTACTATTACTTTGATAATACCATAGTACTTTTTGTAAGGGTCATTTTCAAACTTCACATAGGTATTGTATCAGTGCTAAACTGGAACTATTTAAATTTTTAGACAAATCCCCCCCAAAACTGAGACAACGCCGCTTAGTGACAGCAAAGAGGATGCAATGATTAGAGGATTATTCTTGTAAACAGGATCATTTTATTTAATTGCACCTGTTTGTATATTTAGAGACATGTTATTTTCTGTGTTTTTTTTGGAATTGGGGGTGGTGATTGGATGGCTTTGTATTATTATTTATCCCAATACTTTTCAGTAGAAATATCTGAACCCATGATTGCAACCAACATTCCTCATTTCAAAACATTTATTACTTGGGATAAAGGGGACATTATTAAACAAATAATAAAAAAACAGGCAGGGTAAACCAAGCAGGGAGCTAACAGCTACTGTGCAGCAGGTCAGTCTGTCCGTGGCCGGTCCCCTGGCATGTTACTTGGCCTTATCAATGAGGCTCTGCAGGGAGGTGGGGACCCAGGTCTTCTCCCCCTGCACAAACACCACACCGCGGTCAATGTAGATGACGATGCGGCCAAACGTGTACAGCTGCTTGCCCTCGTGCCGCTTGGCCACCAGCGGCATGAACACTATGTTGTTCTCCTCAGCCTTGGCCTGGACCAGGTCCTTGAAGTTGGTGGGCAGGCCGGCTGCCCCGATGGCGCGCTGGGCCACGCTCTCAGCCTCGCGGCGCTCCTGCAGCGCCTCATACTGGAAGTCTTTCCGCCTCTCCGTATGCGTCAGGTAGGCAATGTTCTCCCGGGCGCCTGGCTGGAGGTACCCACCTGTCACAAGGGGGTTAGGAGGGAAAACAGAGCCGGAGGGAGATGGTCACAGACATGTGATACATCTGAGACACAGCAAACATTCTTCACTCCATCTGTCCAAGTGTCTTACATTATCGGCTGGATTCTTCAAGCAGTGCTCAATAATAAGTAATAGTCACTACCACTACTCGATTCATACACAGTTACTAAATATTAGATAATCATGTTCCTTATTTAGGAGATGCTGAAGCAGCATGTTTTTCTAACCAGAAAACTATCCACGATCTCTAGACTCTACTCATTAGCTATTCATTTAGTTTCTGAAACATTGGAGGGGGACAAGCGGTGCCAAAGTGACTTTTTGAATGGGACCCAGAAACAACAACCCCAGCCCTGTTAACAGTCAAATCTCTTGCAATGTTGCTGCTACATGCTATGTTAAGCACTCTGGAGGTCCTTTGAGAGGAAGAGCTCTATGTACAAAATAAACTTAAGGGAAGAGAGGAGTAGCTGATGTCACCAGTTTGTCACTGGTGCACAGATGATCTGAGGCCAGAGTGTGTCAATAACAAATGTATGTGTTTTATAAAGGTAAGCAATGTGGTACCATTTTTAATAGGAATATGAGAGAAATCCTTGAACATGGAGACTATGCTGATTGCATTTGAACTAGAGTGCATTTTAATTTCAGGTGACAGGGCAGGCTAAAAGCAGGGCCCAACTGACCTATTCCAGAGGATACGGCGCGGTTCATGATATCCAGTGCCTCATTGAACTTCTCCTTGACCAGCGGGTGGGCCAGCACAGCATCGGAGAACATGGACTTCCAGCCCAGGTACCACTTGGTGATCTCCTCGTAATTTGGGCTGTTGCTCAGCCAGGAGCATAGAACCTGATGAGGAACATGAAGCATTTTGGTATGTATATCTATCTTCAAAAGGCACCTGTTAACTAAACGCCAATATGCTGTCAGGGTATACGTCTACACACATCACTATATGGTTTACTCTTTGTATGATTGTTTTCTCTACCTCCGGTTGTATGTGTTAGTAAATAATGCATATATAGTGATTAATGTACATAACAGCATGTTAATATCTCTCGAGACAATAAAGTGCCTTGGCCCACTCTGAAATGATGTTGTTCTGGAAATCACGAATATAAATGACTGGTGAAACCTGACATTATGCTACAGAAGCTGTGAGTAGTAGGGTAACATTTCCTGTCCTGTGGGGTGTACTACAAAGCGAGTTTTACATACCAAGATAGAACTGCTAAATTTTTACTAGAACAGTGGTTAACTTGGTAAGTTGACCAAAGGGTTTCTTAATCATTCTGCGCATGTTCACAAAACAGGGGTGATGCTGGCAATACAAACTAAGAATGGAACAAGCCGCTCCTTGATTGGTGGGTAATACCCAGTCAGATAACTTTATCAAAAAGAAATTCTGTGGTATCAGACAATCACTACTATTCAATCAAAGGGCAGATCTTACTTAGGCTACATCTATGGTGAAACAGTGGTTTGTATATATGTTTTCGTGAAGGGTGGGACTTATACCTGTTTTAATTCAAAAGGCTCACTTAAACTTACTCTGAACAGGTTAGGTGTGCAGCGTAAATTATTATGGTAATATACCCTGTTTAAAAATGAGATGTAATTCATACTACCAAAACTTGGAAGTCAGCCTCAAGAAACCTTGATAATCCTGCTTTCTTTATAGTACACCCTTCTGACAGATGACTAGGCAGCTTATTAAACTGTTCTCAGACAAGTACTGAGTGAAATTCAAGAGGAAGAACACGACAGAGGAGAAGACGAGGAAGATGAAGACAGGCATGTTGTGTCTGGCTATGGTTTGTGTACCGGTTAGGCAGATCATTATCCTGCTACAGATACTGCTGATTAGCGGTTTATACTGTATTGTTAACCAGTAATCAATCAGGATATGGTATTAACCAAAGTTATAGGATACAAAAAATGTTAATCTGCACCACATAAATGTAATAGAAATCTAACCAAATAAATTATATTCCTGCCTTAAGTCACATTTAAACCCTCAGTTTCTCATTCTCTTACTTGCAGCCACTTGGGGAAGAAGTTCTTGTCAAGAAGCCCCACTAGGCTGGAGAGCGAGAGCATGCCCTCCCAGTCCATGACCCAGTGAAAAGGATCCATGTGTTGCTGGTGTGGGTTCACCACCAGTTCGCCCAGACATAGTGCTGCAGAGACAGGGCAGAGCACTTTCAGTAAGAGCAGCGAGAATGGCATACAGCAATATAACTGATAAGTATAAATAACAACACTGCAGGGGCCAGATGCCCTCACATCACATCAGTGGTTTTCAACCTTTCTTCCACCGCGACCCAATTTTTACCATACCAGCTGAGCCGCAACCCTGTATCAAGTATAAGTTTAATAAATGTGTATATATAACATTTATATATTTATACTATATATTAATGTTTTACTTAATAAATATAAATAAGAAAAATGTATGTATGAGACATTTTGGAGTTCAATTTGAATATCTTCTAAGCAAGTGGCGAATTACACGGTCTGTAGGGGCTGCGAATGTGGGAGCGGGGAGAGCATACCGCTCCGTGTACAATGAGCGGAACTTCTCATCGTACCGCTAACATGCTCTGGTTCTGCTACACATTCTAGCATATTCTCAACCAGGGATTAGTTGTGCTTCACGCACCACTCACAGTGCCATGGGGAGCGTGCCACACATTTTGAGAAGC